GCGCGCGCTTCTCGCGCTCCAGCTGCAGCCGCAGCAGCTCCACCAGCCGCTGCTTCTGCCGCAGCATGCGCGTCAGCGCCTCGATCTGCCGGTCCTTCTCCTGCAGCATCTGGTCCTTGTCCAGGCCCTCGGGCTCCCGCGCCGCGCCCTCCTCCTTCACCAGCACCTGCAGCGGCGGCGGCTGCAGCGTGAGCTGCGTCAGGGGCGACGTCACGGCCTCCCCGAAGGCGTCCCCGGGCGTGGAGTTCTCGTCGCCCGTGCTGAGCAGCGAGCGCTCCGAGGGCGTGGGGGACACGGGGGGCGTGGAGCCCGTGCTGCCGAACTTCACCACGCCGTTGCTGGTCACCGTGGCCACCACCACCTCGGCCGGGGCCAGGCCCGCCGTCACCAGGGCCGGCGCCGTGCTCAGCCGGGCCGCCGGGAAGGCGACCACCACCTCGCCGGCCTTGGACAGCAGCGAGGGCGCGGAGGGGGCCTTGGGCGCCGCGGGCGCAGGGCCCACTTGGTCCTGGTAGGCGCGCAGGCGCTCGATCAGCTCGGTCTTGGTGCCGGACACGGGCAGGGACCGCAACTTCAGCTCCTGCTTCAGCTCCGCCACCTGCAGGGGTCGAGCACGCGGCGGGGCTGACAAGGGCGCTGGGCCCCGCGGCCGCTGAGGGCCAGGGCGGGCGCTGCACCCCCTCCGGAGTCCTCCAGGGACCCGGCGCCGGGCGTCCTCGCCTGCCAGCGCCCACCTGCGTCCTCCCTCTCACCGTCCTCACCCTGACAGGGACTCAGCCCCTAGCACCGTGCCTGTGCTCAGTAACTACTTCACTGGATGGACTAACCCCGGGCTCACAGTGAAGCTCGGCGGTCAGGGAAGGTGAAGCCCGGCGGTCAGGGAGGGTGAAGCCCAGGCCCGGCCCTTGCGAGCGCGCCCTTGCCGAGGCCGGGGTCATCACGCTTCCGACTGGGGCAGAGAAACCGGCCGCGCTGTGGGCGGGCTTTACTCCCAAGGCAGGACACGACCCCATGTCCATCCAAGGACAACACCACCCTCCTCAGGCAGCTGCCCGTGGGCAAGATGCAGCTGGCACCCGGGACCACAGGGAGCCTGGCCTTGGCGTGGGTGCCCTGGGAGCCCCGGGCTGCGGAGCAGAGCGTGCAGCCTGCTGGTTGAGGATCTGGGCCTGGGCACCCCTGCGCTGTCTGCCTTCCTGGCCTAAAAGCAGCCAGACTGCCATGGGTGGGGGACGGGACAGGCAGCAAGGCCTAATCCTTCTAGCGAGCAAGGGACGGCCACACACCTTCATGTCGTCCAGGTTGGCTGGCAGGGCTCCCGGCTTGCCAGAGAGAGGGGCGCTGTTCTGGCGGGCCAGCGCCCCGGGCCCTGGGGTGCTCGAGCTGGTGCAGCCATTGGTGGCAGAGAGGCTGCGCACTGGGGGCGCCCCGCTGCTTCCCAGAGCCTCCCCCGCCGGCCTGAGGAGGAAAAGGCGGCCGTGAGCCGCTGGGGGCTGTGGCAGGAGGGGCGCGGCCCTGCCGGGGGCTCTGTCCCCCCAGTCCTACTTGGGCGGGGCGGGCAGGATGGCCTGGTAGTTGTAGTGCTGCTGCTGCTGCTGGTTGAGGATCTGCAGCTGCAAGAAAAGCTGCTGCTGCTGCAGGATCTTGGCGTAGGAGGAGTCCATGGCAGGTGCCCCCTTGTCCTGCTTCTGGTCGGGGGGGATGTACTGGTGGTACTTGAGCTTCTTCACCTTGGGCTTCAGCTCCTTGGCCTTCTTGCTGCGCTGCGCCTTCTCGCCAGCAGACTTGGGTTGGCTTTGCTGAGGGCACAGGAGCGGCAGAGTCAGCACCCCGCAGGCCCCGCACAGGCGCCCGCCAGCCCACACCCGAGCTGCTGGGCACCGCCCTACAGGAGCAGGGGCTCCCTGGTGCCCAGAGGGGTCCCAGGAGCCGGTGGGGTTGGGCGTAGCCTGGAGGGAAAAATCAAGCAGAGGTTCAGGCACAGATGCCACCGGGACCCCAAGCACAGTGTGACCCCAACAACAGGCAAAACCGCAGCTGGCCTGTGGCGCATGGGCTCGGCCAGACGGAGCAGGTCACAGAGACTGTGCCACGGAACTGTTGAGCCGACCTAAACAGGAGCAAACGGGCTCAGAGGAGCCGCATGGCGACCAGTCGTGACCTAGCGTGGGACCCCACAGCTCCTGCTCAGGCCCAGTATGTGCCCCAGAGGCTCCCAGCTGGCACAAGCACAGGGTGCAGGGTCAGAGGGCCCAGGCTAACCCAGAGGGGCTGGCAGTCAGAGCACGGAGGTAGTACCGAGTGGGACAGGAAGACCATGGACCTGGACACTTCTGAGCAGAGGCAACAGAGGGGAAGAAGAGAATGTCAGGGTCTGCTGCAGTTGTGACCAGGTGGCAGTGGGGACAAAAGGAAGGTCGGGGCAGAGGTGCCCACGACAGCATGAGCAGCATGAGCACGTGGCAGTGCGGGGCTGGGGCTCTCGGCCGAGAAGAGGAGCGAGCAGGACTCTGGGCAGACGGCTGGGCGGCAGGCGGAGGCGAGGCAGGCCGGTCAGGAAGCCGGCCCTGGAGGCTGAGGCAGGCATAAGACTGCTCTCTCCTACGAGTGGTGGCGAAGGACAGCCACGCAGTGTGAAAAAGGACAAGACCGAGGGAGGGGCTGTGCCCGTGAGGAAGAGACCGCAGGTAGGAGGGGACAGCTAGCGCAGCCCTCAGGGAGGACACTGCCAGCGACAGACAGGCTAACAGTGCGAATCAGCGGTGGCTCCGACGGCGACTCAGACACCGTGTTGGACAGAGAAAGAACAGGAACGAATCGCACGCGGTCTTGGGACTCCGTGGCCTGAGACCCCAGGGAGAGGACGTGCAGTGTCCCAGGAGGCCCGAGCAGCATGGGACAGCACAGCTGCTGCTGACGCACCTTAATGAGCGTGGGGGTGGGCTTGGCGGGGGGCACAGCGGTTCCGTTGGCGAGGCTGGGCGGCAGCAGAGGCGGGGCAGGCAGAGGCGGCTGCTCTGCCACGAAGAGCGTTTCTCCAGCATCCGGGCCCAGCTGGAGCTGAGAAAGAACCTGGGCGGGAAGAGGGGACGGGAGGACATTGGCAGCCCCGCCCCGCGTGTGCCCAGCCTGCACTGCCACTAGGGGGGCGGCACTTCCCTGGACACCGTCATGGCCAGAGGCCAAGTGACGAGCAGAGATCTGGCTCGCAGGGGAGGGAACTGGGAAAGCAGGACAGGTGGCGGCCACAGCGCTGAACTCCGGGCCCTCGCGCCAGCAGCCGGGGCGGTGGGCGGGCAAGGCAGCCCAGCCCCGCGCTGCTCTCCGGCCCCGGGGTTTGGGGCCTGACACCTCCCTCCTCCTCACCACTGGGAAACAAGCAGCCGGCGCCTGGGCTCCCAAGGTGGCGGCCGCACCTCCCGTGCTACGGCAGAGCCACCCACCTGGCCCTAGCACGCGTGGGAGCCTCTGGGCAAGCTGACCTGAGTGGGGGACACGGAGGTGGCACTCGGCGGTGGTTCGCTGACGCGGGCCTCCAGGGGTGATGGCACGGAGCCCTGGGACTCGTGGCTGGCAGGCTGCTCAGGGGATAAGGCGTCGCTGCTGTCCTCGTCGAAGGAAGAGCTGTCTGCCACCTTCGGGTAGTTCACCTGGCCCACTGCAACCCAGAGCCAGCGTGAGACCCGGGGCAGGAGCAGCGGCGGCCCCGGACTCGCCGGCGCTCAGCCGAAGGAGACCGCGCACTGCCTTCCCAGTGCCTCCCTGGAGCGGGCCCAGCCATCAGCGGGGCCGAAGAGACCCTGGCTCCAGGCGGCACCCACTCTTCACAATCAGGTCCCTTCCTCCCTCCGCCTGTCATTCTCGGGAGCCGCAGGCCACCTCTCCTCACTCATGTCCTTGATGGCCAAGGCTACACAGATGTCCCCTCTGCTCCCTGCTGCTTACAGTCCACACAACGAGGGCCCTGCCCCTGAGGGCAAGGGACCCCGGGGCTGAGCTCACGGCCTCCTCAGTGCCAACTCAACCCCAAAGGCCAGGGCAAACTGAGGAGCCGGGTGCCCGCCTGCACAGGTGAGGTGCTCAGGGACCTGGCACGTGGGCAGCAGATGCACCAGAGAGAAACCACTGCTGCCGGGTGCCCCGGGGCCTGGCAGGAGCTTTCATCCCTCACAGCTGGCTGGGAGCAGGGTCCTTGTGGAACTTCCGCCCCGGGAGGCCCAGCGTGGGAATCCCTGGCCGCAGAGGGAAGGTGAGACAGGAACAGGGGCAGGAGGGCATTTTAAGCCATGTCACAACTGCCGCCTCTACAATGCTGTGGGGAAAGCGGGCCCACTCAGGAGGAACCGAGGCAGCGGCGGGAGACCCATGAGGAAGAGGAACAAGGTGGAGGCACCGGGCCTGGAAGTCCTGTAGCCTCTCCTCCCCGGGCCGCGGCCTGTGGTGCCCTCGTCCCTGGAGGCCTGCAGGATGGGTCTGAGCGGCTCCCCTTCTGGCCAACTGTGGTAGCAGCCAGGAACGCCCCTGGCTGGGCTCGGTCCTGTCCCCTCACCTGCCCCGGCAGGGACAAGTGGCAGGGACAAGCGTGCCACACCAGAGGGGACTGAGCTCGCTGGCCAGCTGTGCTTCACGCCAACCACACAACAGGCTCCACCCCACCACATAAGTGTCACTTCGGGACTGTCCGAGGCCTCGAGTGCCTGTGGCGGGGCTTGTGGGCGGTGCTGGGAGGGTGGGGTCACCCTCGGAGAGTGCGGCTGAGTGTGTCCACTAGGGAGTGGGCCCTGACGGGAAGAGGCGGGTCCCTGGGGATGAAGTCACCCCGCTGCCTTCTCTGCTTCTGGCTGCCAGGAGAGAGTGGCTCTCTTCCACCCGCCCATCTCGGCCTTGGAGCCAGCTGACCACCGCCTGCACTGTGGCTCAAATAAGCCTCTCCTTAGGTTGTGTGCGCTGGATGTTGTGCCCTAGCGATGACAGAGTGACTAAGAACCCCTCTCTGCCATTTCTTACTCCCAGCACGGGGACCTGCAGTGGAGAGCAGTGACACAGGGCTGACACAGGACGACCATGATCCAGGCCGGACAAGGTGCAGCTCCCAGCCCAACGGCCCAGGCTAAGGGAGCTGCCGGCCCAGCAGGGAGGGCTGGGGCTGCGCTTGCTGGTGGAGCCCACACCTGCAGCCAAGCCTGTGGCTGCAGAGCTATGGCTCTGGAGCCCAAGCCGTGTGACCTTAGGGCAGAGCTGACTTCTGAGGGCACCTTCAGAGGACCCAGGAAGCCCCCTAGAGGAGGGGGGCACAGCCCAGGCATGACTGGGTGGCCCGAAGGGGGAGTGTGTAAGCAGTGGTGTGTGCGCCCCTGCCACAGGCCACGCCCCTGCCTCTCCTCCCGTCTGAGCCAAATCTCCACCAGGCCCCATCCCACTCCCTGCCCCGGAAGCGCCTCTCCCCAGCTCCTCCTCTCCACCCGGAAACCTGCTCCATCTCCCTGCCTAAAAAACACGGCCTTCACTCAGCATCTCCCTCTCCTTGCGCTGCAACCGGGCATAGCCACGTCCTTCTATCACTCCTCACTCCAACCGCCAGCTCTGCTGGCAAACAAATGCACCTTTCCCACAAGTCACCAAGGATCCCTCGCTGCCAACCTCCGGAACCGGCCATGCTCTGCCAGTCCTCCGGGCTGCTGCCATGCTGTCCCTCTGCACTTCGGTAACCCCAGGCCACCGTAACGCACTGTCTCGGGTGTGCATGCGCGTCCCAGCCACCACCACGTCCGTCCTGAGCCGCGCCCCCTGCGCTCCTGTGGCATCCTGCGGCCGCCAGCTGGTCTGGAACAAGCAGCACTGCGGACGCCGTCAGCCACCAAGGAGTGTGTGAGGCCCTTGACACCCACCATCCTGTGGACCCTGAGAACGGTCCTACCGGGCAGAGGCACCAGCTACATCACAGGACCACGTGGCCCTTCCACTGCGCTGCGTGGGCACCAGAAAGCACTGGTCTGCGTCAGTCTCCTCAGGTCAGCCCTGCTTCTCAAGGCTACAAGTCCCCTCTAGCCACCTCTGTGGCCTCGGGACTGCACGGGGGCTGCCACGTGCTGACTCCGGGTACGCATTTCCTGGACCTGGGCTGCAAAACTCAGAACCTGCCTGGCCACCGACCGCTCTGGAACGCCGCCCTCTCCCCACCTGCCCGCCACCTGTTAGCAATCCCTACCTGAGCACAGGCCCGTGCCCGGCCACCTCCTGACGCCCTCACTCCCACTGCCGGGGAGCCCAGGCAGCAGCTCCGTGGGGACAGGGCCGGGCCTCCACCCCGCCCAACTCCACACCCGTCCCCCACCGCATGCGCACAGGGTGACCAGGGCCCTCACCGAAGATGGCTTCCTTCAGGCTGGACCCCACGGGCAGGATGTTTTTCTCCACCAGCTCCATGGGGCCAGGCCTCTGGGCGATCTTCTCATTGAGGTCATCAGCCAGTCTGGCTCTCTTCAGCTTCAGCTGCTTGGCCTGGAGGGAAGGCTCAGCCGAGGTCTCTGCCCAGGGGAGGAAGGGCACAGGGTGATGCAGGAGGCCCTGGGAGCCCCAGAGCCGCAGGAGCAGAGACCATGAGAGCTGAAAGCATGTCCCAGCCCAAAAGGGTGGCATGGCTACAAGTGTCAAAAGGACAACTGTCACCAGGCCACACTGGCCTAGAGCTTCCTGAGGGGAGCTGCAGCCAAAGGAGCACCCCCCGGGGACTAGCCTCTGTTCTTCCACAGACGTGGGCCACTGGCACCACTGTCCTCTTGCTCTAACCCTTAGCGTCTTCATATGAGAAACATGAGCTTCAGACGTGGAAAGGTCTTGTCCAGCCCTAAGGATGGCCTTGGACTACACAATCCCCAACTGGACAGTTACGCTGCTTCCAGGAGCTGTGCTTTCACTAGAACTGTGGGAAGATGTATGTGGCTGGCCAGGTAAGGCACGTCCCGGACGACCCTGGCTGTCCACAGAGGTGCTCACGTAAATGCCAGTGAGGGAAGGAACGAGTGAATGTAAAACTAAGTGCATTTTAAAAACACGATTTGGAGAGAGGCATCTGCCCAGGCAGGGAAGCCTTTCACACGGGGCCCAGGAGAACAGGCGGGGCGAGGGGAAGGCAGCAGGAAGCACACAGCAGCCTGAGGGCTGTGCGTGCCGGGTGAGAGGGAGCAGTGTTCGGACCTCACGCACCTTCCAAGATGTGCATCCTGACCAGCTCCGACCGCTCCGGCCGGGAGCGGATCTTCCGTTTCAGGTAGTCCTCTGTCTACAGAAAAACACACCGAGCAAACTCTCAAAGCCAGGTCATGGGGGGATGGCAGGCACTGGACCACGGCCAAGCGTGGGTCACAGTGGCTACTGCCGGTCACCTCTGCAGCCCCCATGACCTCCATTTTGTGCAGGGTCCTGAGGCGGGGGCTGGGAAGTCACACTGGCTTCCAATGCACCTGACAAGGGCACCTTCCCCTGAGACCCTTTGTCCTTCCGGGGCTAAACGACTCACTCACATACTCCACAGCTACCCCTGAGCTGAGTGTGGGGTGCACACCTGCAAATTCAGGCGGAGGCAGGAGAGTCAAGTTTGGGCCCAGCCTGGATTACAGAGCAAGATCCTGTCTCACAAAACCAAAAGCATCAAAGGAACAAACAACCCCAACAAACCATCACTGACATCATCATGAAAGCACCATGTGCTCACTGAAGAACTAGAAAGTATAACCATAGTAAAGAATTTAAACTTTATTAGTATTTGGGGAGATCTGTTTCTATCACTCTTTCATGAAGGTCAGTTTAATTCTGTACAGATACAATCGTACTACATACGACTTTATGTCCTGTTTCAGAAACTTCAGCACTGCATGGTCTCGTGAGCGCTTTCAGTTCATTCTGAATAACTGCCAAATGCAATACTAATTCTGTACCTAGTGATGCAGCTCCAGTTCCTCGAAGTCCGGCGTCCTTGTTTCTGCATTTACTGGATGGGGAGAACTAAGCCATGCCCTCCACTGTCACAGAGCCCTCACTGCCAGTGGCTAATGGCACTGTGGGTGTGACCCCAGATCTGACTTGGGAGCAGGTGCCCCTAACCTCTGCACCAGCGTTTTTCAAACCATAGGCCAAAACCATCAGAATCAGGAGCAGCATAAGATGGGACAGGACAGACAGGACGGACAGGACAAGCATAGCAAACTATGACAGCAGGGCACATCATGTATAGTAAAGGTCAAGACTAGGCCCTGCCCTGGCCATCTGCTGCCTCGGTGCCCTGGTTGGGCAGCTCTGTGCTCAGGAGGGGTGCTGAGCTCTCCAGGCAGCATCTCGGGACTGGGGTACCAGTTCCTGATGGAAACCTGGAAACCAGTTTGCTCTCAGCACAGAATGTCAGGACAAAGGCTGCGGAGCTGATATTAACAGCTCACAAGCACTGAGAGCGTGAGCAGCTAAGCAAGCTTTGGAAAAGAAACCAGCCTCAGGTGAGGAGCGCCCGAGAGCGCTCACAGCGTGGCTGAGCCGCAGCCACCGGGGGCACTGCCTGCACAGGGGCGCAGGGCACTCTCGGGTCAGGGAGCTCAGGCTGACAGTGCGCCTTACCTGAATGCAAAAGTGGCAGCTTTCAGAGCTGTAAACTGTTAGACTAATTAATTAAAGCAAGTCCTGCCATAACCAATCCAGTGTGCTCGTTTTTCATATTTCAAGTAAGATCATTTTTAGTACATAAACGTGGAAGCAGGTATTGTAAGGTGGAAGGCACTCGTGAGCAGAGGCAGGCACATACTAGACATATTTACCGTGTGTTAGGGAACAAGACTGCTGTGCTAAGAATAAAATCTGGTTCCCACAGGTCTGAACATCAGCCCTGCCACTTGCTAGCTCAGCAGGTCAGACGACCTCTCCTGCTGCATCTACAAAACAGTAACAGCGGCACCTGATCTGTGAGACTCGATGTGGAGATAAACAAGATACGACCGAGTCTCACGCGCCGCCTCCTAGGCAGCTCCCGGCTGCCCCGCTGGCGGCTCAGGAACTGGCACGGCTTCTGACTGCGGGGGCCCACACAGCTCCCAGAAAAAGCCAGCAGTGCAGTTTCCTACTGCTCTGTTCCCAGCACCCATGATCTCATTCTTCTAGGAATTAATCATGGTTTTTAGGGGGAAAGAATAGAAGAAAAGTCTTGAGATGTCTCTAGGAGAAGCGTGGGGCTTCAGGGAGCAATGGGCTGTACCCCTCCATCCAACCACACGGGAAAGGAGCAGCAGAGGCGGTGGGACAAGCAGGTCTGTGACCTCCCTGTTCCAGCGGACACCCGGGGCAGGATACCCCCCCCAGGGGCCTCTAGGGAAGCAAAGCTGAGGGGACAGGGATGCAAGTGAGGTGCCACAGCCAGAAACCTGGGCTGGAGTGTGGCCCCACTTCTGCTTTCCGCAGGCAGCCAGTGGCCACTGGCTGGAGCCGAGGAAGGCCGAGGGGGTTTCCTTGGAACACCTGTCCCGCAGGCCCTGGGCAGCTTGCACTGGACACAGGAAACTTTCCTGTGGCTAACGCTGGTGCCTGTCATCTCAAAAGGCACAGTGCAAGGGAAGGTGGGCAAAGCCCAGTGATCTCCAAAGCCAGGTTCAGGGAGGAGAGGCCACGCGATGAGGCCCCACAGTGAAATGCACTAAAGGAGATCGCTCCCTCCAGGTGCTCCTTCAACACCGTGGGAGGTGGCTGGGAGGGGCGAGGCAGGAGGAGCTGACCCTAGCAGAGAGCCCGGCTGGAAGGCAATGTAACCAGCTGTGCGATGAGTCTGGAAATGTGTTGGAGGTCCTTGGGGGAGAAGGGGACCTTACCCTGGCCCGCTCCAAGCTCCTCCTCTGCTCATGAAATGCAGCTGGACTTTTCAAAGCTGTAGAGAGAAGAACCATGCAAGAATTACTTTCAGTGAAGCACCAAGTGCAGCACTGCAATTTCAGTGAAGAAGGCATCTTAAACTCATGTTAACTGTGGCAGTGCTACTCACAGCAGCTGGAGCGAAGAAGGAAACGCCGCCTGAGTAGGCACATGCCTTCACGGGTTAGCCACTGCATGAAACTTTATGATTCCTAACGGGAACGGCCTCTGCCGAAGCTCGGGCTTCACAGGACACACGAACCCTACCAGCCAGGCCTCCAAGAACGCCAGTGCCTCGCGCTCTTCTTGGGCTGACGCAGGAAGGGGCAGGACTGTGCGCTGCACCTGCCTTGCCTCTTCAGCCTCACTGGGAACCATCAAATGGCCATGGCTTCACTGGGCCAGTTACACCGAAAAGGCCTGTGTCTCCCTTCTGCCTCACTTTGGCTGGCATTAACAGTGCTGCTAAAATTAACTTGAATTTCATCTGTAGGGACTAAAAGAACTTCCCGATCATATGGCTGACCCTGGCGAAGGAAGACGCACCACCAGCAGCTGATAAGAAGGGCTCTGCTCTATTCTGGGGACGCCGCCACAGACAACAGCTCCTGCCTCCAGCAAACAACGCCTGGCGGGCCAGGCCAGCCCGGCCCTCTGCACGCGCTGCACAGGGAAGGGCAGCACTGTCGCCCTCTATGAGAAACCTCAGGTGCTGAGGAGGAGGGCAGAGGAGGACTCACTTCAAGCAGGGAACAATGGCAATAAGAGAAATTTACAAAGCTGTGGTCAGTTTCACGTCTGCTGCCCCAGGATTTCTGAACAGCTGCGAAACTGTGTGCAGAGATAACTGGCTAAGCTGCCGGCTGTGGTAGAAGGGCAGGGTAAGGAGCCGCTAAAAGTAGCAAGAGCACAGATAGGACCCTATCCTGCCTGGCCTCTGTACTCCCCCACCCTGCAGGGGGCTGGGCTTCAGCAACAGCAGCACCAGAAGAAAGCTTCAAATGTCCCAGAAGTGCCTGTTGAGAATTTTAAAAGTTTTTTATTATTCTTGTGGCGGGGGGTGGGGGTAGTGTTTAAAGCTCTGTAGAGCCAGGTGCAGTGCATACACCTGTAATCCCAGCACTCAGAAGGCTGAGACAGGAGGATCACTGCAAGTCTGAGGCCAGCCTGGGCTACATAATGAGTTCAGGGCTAAGCTGAACTACTTAGCAAGACCCTGTGTCTCAAAGAAAAAAAAAAAGAGATAGATAATAGACAGAGGCGAAAGTTCTGCTGAGATTCTACCCACACTCTAACAGCAGGGGGAGCTCCAGATTTAGAAAATACAAAGACAGCAGCACATCACCCACCACAGCACTCATTCCTGGCCACCACCCAGGCTACCCCAGAGGTAACGCTGCTCCCTGCACCTGCTTCTACAGCACAACTCCAAAAGCTGCCTGCAGAGCCTGGCTGGCACCTGCGCTGGGTGTGCTGGGCCAGCAGGGAATAAACACGCCGCCCTGCTCATGAGAGCTCCCCACATGGGCCAAACAAGTACCAAGAGTCAAGGAGAAACCTGCAATGTCCACTGGCCCGCCCAGCTTTTTCCTGCCTTTTCTCCATAGCTCTCACTGCTATCTGGGCAGTCTCTGTGTGAGAGCTACGCACTTTGCTTATTTGTTTGTAAAGCTCCTCCCTTCCCAACATCCCACTGGGGCACGGCAGAGGTTTTGTCTACTTCATTTGTGACAGGGGCCCCAGTGCCTAGAACACCACTAATTCTTCACTCAATGCATTAATGAATCTCCTGCAAGAAACTGGTACAAGGTGACACAGTGACAGGACAGCAAGGGGATTCCGCCGTACCACGCTAGACTTTTATGAACAGCCAGCATTCTGGCTCTCATCTGGGTCCAAAACTCCACAGAGGGAGTCAGGGATTTGTGTCGACTCCCGAGTTCTACCCAGCACTCCTCGGGCGACAGGGCGTGATGGTCTTCTGGGCCTCATTTTCTTCTGGAGAGCAACAATCTGCCCACTTCCAAGAGCTCTTCTAAGAATCGAGTGGGAGCAAGCACGCTGTGAAGCAGGTGGCCCGCTCACCCATGGGAAGGGCTACTCCACCAAACCCTGGCATCTGATTCAACCATTAGCTGGATTCTCTCGGAGGTGAGCTGGTTTCTGTCCCATAGTCATGTATGATCTGTCTAAAATCCTGGCTGCTTTGCTGCCTCAACAACCTACACTGACTCTTCCAACAGGCAGGGCACAATTCTAACTTCTAGAAAAACTTGCAGGCACAGGCATCTTGACAGTAGGGGGAACATCACCTTTGTTTAAAAGACGGACGGTGTATAGTATACATAAAGTCCTCCTTGGTCCCACTGAATTAAGAGAGTCTTTTATGCAAAAGGAGATTCGTATTTACTGAGTCTGAACTTAAGTGGCACATGCTGTCTCAGATACTTTAAACACACAGACTTAGTTTTTTTAATACATAGGGTCTCACTATGTAGTGCAGGCTGGCCTTGAACTTACTACGTAGCCCAGACTGGCCTCAAATTTGCAGCAATTCTCCTGCCTCAAATTCCCTGGCACTGGGATTACAGGTGTGGGCCACCCTACCTGGCAACCCAGTTTAAACCCTGAGGGTTTATTACTCTGAGCTCATTTTATTTTATTTTATTTTATTTTTTTTTTTGTTTTTCTCCGGTACCGGGAACCGAACCCACGACCTTGCGCTTGCCAGGCAGGCGCTTTTGCCGCTGAGCTAAATCCCCAGCCCTCTGAGCTCATTTTAAACCCCGAGCGTCCGATGTGGTAGGTAAGGGTCCATTTTGTAGGCTGGAAAAGTTAGGAAAGGCTGTCCAATGGCAGGGTCACGGTTTCAACCTAATTCTGTCCTGCCCCCAAGTCAGACTTCTTTCCACTTCTCTGGGTTGGTTACTTAACTTCTTCAAAAAATAGAGAAGAAAAGAACCTGTGGGGTGAAGGCTGGGCAAGGCGGCCTCCCTAAGACGTACGCCTAGATGCAGATCTGCGCACAGGCAGTGTGGAGAGGTCAGGTGACCACAGTGCTGCGCCCAGACAAGTGTGAGGAAGACCCAGAGAACCGGCGCAGGAAGCCCTTCGAGGAGCCCCAAGGCTCCTCGGGGAGCAGCCTGGAGCCTAACACTAAGCAACGAGCTGGGGGGGTTGCAAGGCCGGAGGAAGGCATCAGCCAGGCAGGGCAGGGCCTGGCCGCGAGAACAGAAATGAAGATGAGTGCCCAATCCCGAAAGACCATTCCACCTCATAGTGACAGGGGCAGTACAGTCGCACCGGATCCCCTTTACAGCACACGAGACAGGGACTATTCTTTCAATTCTACCTGTGATGAAACCACCACTAGGCGACACGCAGTAACCTGCCAGGCCGTTCATCGAGGCCTGGACCCAGCCCTGGCCCAGCTCTCCCCTCGCCTAAACCTTCTGCCGAGGCGTGTGGCAGTTTCTGTCGCGAGCCCAGCTCCGTCTGTGCTACTCCTTCCCCATTTTTCCTTCTGCTCTGACAGCAGGTTCAGCAGTTTCTGCAGCCACTCCTCCCAGGTGGGAGGAGGAAGGGTCTGTCAGGACTTCTGCTCGGTGTCCCCAGGTTCACAGAGGAGGACTGGGGTGGGGACAGCAAGTGCTGCCGATCCTCTACAGTTTCAGGCAGGACAGCGACTCCTCCGTGTCCCGAAGCTGTGTCAAAGCCACACTGCGGAGTGTGGCCCGGTGACGGAGATGTACGGAGATGTAGGTGCAGCTAGGGCGTAGCTCAGCTGCACAGCGCCTGCCGGGCAAGCACAAGGTCCTGAGTTGGACTCTCGGTAACCACCCCCCAGAAAATGCTGGTGCAGCCTTTCTTGACGTAGAAGCCGGTGACAAAAGAGTAAACCACTCAAGCTCCAGCAGTAAAGGGACAGGCCACAGAGAAGCACAGTAAGCATAGGCTTGTCCTAGTTGTGGAAAAAACCAGAAAGTCTCAGAGTTAACCCATAAATGTGTGCCTCACGAAGACGGCTGTATTTACCTTCCACTCTATCTCCTCCTCCTTGCTGCCTTAACAGCTTTGCTAGGAAGATCCACGATGCTACCCATTCAAAATTTCATTTCCCCGGAGGCCCCTGGAAGCAGTCTCTGGGAAGAGCAGCCCCAAGCCCACGCAAAGGAGAGCTGCTGCGAGCGTGCGCCAGGGTCAGAGGGCAGCTCTGATCCTCCTCTCCCAGCCCTATGGCTGCTCCCACGGAACTCTCACAGCGCTGTGTGTGAACAAAGGGAAGTGTGCAGCGCATACTGAAAGGAAAAATAACCAAGTTCCCCACAGAAATCAACTGAGCAGAAGTGGCCAGCAGGTGTGGCATCTTAATCACAGTTTCAGTTCTAGATGTGGCTGCCGCTGTTATTCTGGACCTTCTCTCAGCGCCCATTTTCCTCCTCCCGACATGTTCGCTGCCTTAATTAAAGGAGATCATTTGTGAATTAAATTTTATATGGAAAAAACTGCTTCCATTTTCTTTTGAAGGCTATTCTGGCCACCACTTACAAGGGGGCGCTCAGCGCTCAGAGGGTCCTGCAAGGCTTTGTGACCCCCAGGCAGAGCTGCAAGAGCCAAGCTATTCCACTACTTTATAGGATGTCAGGCCGGCACCTTCTCTCATGAGCTCCACCCAGGCTTACCCACGCACGCAGGCCAGTGAGCCCTCCAGGAGCCACAAGCAGCCAGGCACTGTGGCTCATCAATGACATTCACCAGCAAGCCTCGTTTCCTCCTCACCCTCCCACTAGCTGCCTGGGTCGAGCACTGCTTCATTAGCTGCTGATATCATAAAACAATGGTTCCCATCCTGGGTAAGATAATGGGCCAGAAGCCCACTGACAGTTCTGCAGTCAGAACTCAAAGCTCTGAGTATCACACCACTAACAGAGACCACTGGAGCACCAAAGTCCACAGCAGCCCACCTGAAAGGCAGAGAGAGAGAGAGAGAGAGAGACAGAGAGAGAGAGAGAGAGA